CCAACTCTCTGATGCATAACAAGTGATTGCGAAGACCTTGGCCTGTATCAGACGCACCTTAGTCTCCAGAGAGACACCATTGCTCTTCAGTACTGGAATTTCACATAATTTGCTTCCAAGTACTTGGACTCGCCAGGAAGGCGAGCCTGCAGTCGCTTGGGTCTTGGTTGTCTGAGGCCCACCTGCAGGCCCACTTGACAGTCTCAGCACTCTGGAGATCAAGGGGGGTGCACTGCACACCCGAGCCCTTACTTGGCTCGCTCACCCCCTGGCCCCACCAGCAGCTCGCTGAGGGAGGCAGGAAGTAGCCCGTCCACGTCTCAGATTCTGATTCACAAGTCGGTCATGCCAGTCATTCCTCCTACTTTTCTACTTAGGAAGAAATGGAGCGGTGCTACATAGATTAAAGCTCTGGTTAGTTACAACAAATCAAAAGTGCTCACTGCCAAGATGCAGGGGGGAACACTTCTAAGATAACACTTAGTTGGAGGTGGCTGTTAGGTGCCATCGAATCAGCTATGACTTACAGCCAACCTGTGAACAGCAGACCAGAACCTTCCCCTATCCTGTGCCACCCTCATCATGATCTCCTGTGGTAAAATTGCCTGTAGAGATGCAAATACCTTTTCCAGATCAGTTAGAGGCTTGTTCTCCTGTAAATAGCACTGGGACATTTTCATTCTTTGATCCTCTTGCTGGAAACCCACTCCTTTCAATACAGCTGATACTGCCAGAGATGGTGAAGAAGTTGTGTTTTCAAGTACAAGAAGAATTGTGTGCTGGAGGTTATTGTAAGGCTCTGCTCATTCTGTATCTTGGTTTATGACCAGGGCCTCTTTATTCTGTTGTTCGTGTCAACATCCTAAACCTGATGAAACAAAACATCGTCCATAAAAGCTCATCAGAAGAAGAAGTGTGAGAGCACAGGTGGTGAGTGAAATCAGGCCACAGAATTCTGCCTTGTTTTGCCATCTGGCATCCCTAACATCTTTCTCCTCCTCTCCTCTAAGACACGCTTGTTTATCCTGTCACTGCATCCATTCCTGCTAAGATAAGGCAGTGTGTGCTTTCCGGCCACCACCCCCTGGGGGCCCTGGCACTCCAAGCTCCCTCACGTGGAGAGTAGGTCCAGCGATGTGAGTGAGCGTCCTTGTTCCTGTGCACACCCATCAGAAGTCCAGTGAAGTAAAATCTGTTTTTGCAGGGAGAGCACCTCCTAGTTGGGGCAGTGACTCCTTGTGCATGGATTTGGTAAGAGACAGTGCCCCCTCTCCTCTGAGAGCTGAAGGAAAGAAAATCTCTCTTCTAGGGCACCCCCCCTGCCAGCAGTGAGCCGGCAGAAGTGGGCAGTGACCAGGAGCTGGGATGCTCTTCTTGGGACTGTGAACATAGAGCAGGTGACGCAGAAGTAAAGGGACGTGAGGCTCATGTTATGGTTGCTGTGGTGGTGTCCAGGGCTGCAGTCTCCAGGGATGGTAGTATCCGCTGGTGATAGTGATCCAGGGTGATAGAGCCTTGGGCAGATGCCCTCTTCCTGCCGTCGTCCCCACAGTGCTGCCCCGACTCCCATCCACCTTGAGATCTCACTTCTAGCTCCCCATCAATTAGTTGTTCTTTCAAAATTCCTTATCCTTTCATGAAGTAGTCTGAGTTGGCTGTACACACCCCACGACCGGTCAGATCCATTCCTAGGTGTTTACCCAACAGAAGCGCACGTGTGTGTGTGTGTGTGTGTGTGTGTGTGTGTGTGTGTGTGTGTCCACAGCAGCACTCTGCTTCCGAGCCCCAATCTGGAAGGCACCCAGGTGCCAGTGAGAATGGATTCCGAGCCTCCACAGCAGTG